CGTCGTCGTCACATGGGCGATGTTGTGAAAACATATTCGAAGATGATTTCCAAATATTAAAATATTAAAAAGTCGTCAGACATGATCATATTTAAACGGAATGCTGATCTTATAAAAGTTCTGTTTGGATTATTTCCATCGTCTTTTCATGTTGAATTTTATATGTTTTAATGTTAATTATGTTTAATGAAAATGTCCTGAAGATGGTCTAAAATAGCCGAAACGTCTGACGTTGACTTTATATTAACATTTACAGCATAATTGCATATTAAGATTTTTGTTTGTTTTTACTGTATATTTTTCTTCATAATGTCAGATCTATATCCATATATTTACTATATATATATATATATATATATATATATATATATATATATTCACCAGAAATAAGATTAATTGCACTATACTGTGTCTAGTTACTTAGTGTCCTCTTTATCACCACTGTCCACTGGCATAACGGTCTGGGTTTCATTATTAGTAGTAGATGCACATTGCTGATGAATCAAAAAAATAAGATGAAACAGACGTCCAGTGCTTTTCTGCATTCTGTTGAGATTTCTAGGTTTAGAAATGATGAATTATTATGAAAATATATATATATATATATATATATATATATATATATAAAAGTTTTACTAAATTTAACTTTTAGAATGTGTTTTTTTTTCTTTTTACTCTTTTTTTTCTTTCTTTCTTTTTCCATTAGCTTAATATGTTGGCTATCTCCACAAAAATATGAGTACAGTTTAAAATAATCACAAAATAATTTCAGAAGACTAAAATAATATATGCCAGGCATATTCGGACTTCCAAGAAAATATATATATAACTAATAATGTATTTATTTAAAATATGACCATTTTTTTAAATACTTTTCAGGGTAAATAATGTAAATAGTTACAATATCTCATCTCAGAAATATAGACTGTGAATATGGCAATAAAGATGAGGACAACAGTCTGAACAATGTAAATAGTGTAAATAGTTACAATACCTCATCTCAGAAATATAGACTGTGAATATGGCAATAAAGATGAGGACAACAGTCCAAACAATGTAAATAGTGTAAATAGTTACAATATCTCATCTCAGAAATATAGACTGTGAATATGGCAATAAAGATGAGGACAACAGTCCAAACAATGTAAATAGTGTAAATAGTTACAATCATCTATATATATATGAAGACAACAGTCTGAACAATGTAAATAATAAATAGTTACAATATCTCATCTCAGAAATATAGACTGTGAATATGGCAATAAAGATGAGGACAACAGTCCAAACAATGTAAATAGTTACAATACATCATCTCAGAAATATAGACTGTGAATATGGCAATAAAGGTGAGGACAGCAGTCCAAACAATGTAAATGTGTAAAAGTTACAATACCTCATCTCAGAAATATAGATGAATATGGCAATAAAGGTGAGGACAGCAGTCCAAACAATGTAAATAGTTAAATAGTTACAATATCATCTTAGAAATATAGACTGTGAATATGGCAATAAAGATGAGGACAACAGTCCAAACAATGTAAATAGTTACAATACATCATTCAGAAATATAGACTGTGAATACAGCAATAAAGGTGAGGACAGTTCCAAACAATGTAAATAGTGTAAATAGTTTACCTCATCTCAGAAATATAGATTGTGAATACATGAGGAAAAGTCCAAACAATTAAATAGTGTAAATAGTTACAATTCATCTCAGAAATATAGACTGTGAATAAATAAAGATGAGGACAACAGTCCAAACAATGTAAATAGTTCAATACATCATCTCAGAAATATAGACTGTGAATATGGCAATAAAGGTGAGGACAGCAGTCCAAACAATGTAAATATGTAAATAGTTACAATACCTCATCTCAGAAAATAGACTGTGAAATATTAATAAAGGTGAGGACAGCAGTCCAAACAATGTAAATTAAATAGTTACAATACCTCATCTCAGAAATATAGACTGTGAATATGGCAATAAAGATCATATTTCCAAACAATGTAAATAGTTACAATACATCATCTCAGAAATATAGACTGTGAATATGGCAATAAAGGTGAGGACAGCAGTCCAAACAATGTAAATAGTGTAAATAGTTACAATTCATCTCAGAAATATAGACTGTGAATATGGCAATAAAGGTGAGGACAGCAGTCCAAACAATGTAAATAGTGTAAATAGTTACAATACCTCATCTCAGAAATATAGACTGTGAATATCCAAAGGTGAGGACAGCAGTCCAAACAATTTAAATAATGTAAATAGTTACAATACCTCATTCAGAAATATAGACTGTGAATATGGCAATTTCCAAACAATGTAAATAATGTAAATAGTTTATCTCATCTCAGAAATATAGACTGTGAATATGGCAATAAAATGAGGACAACAGTCCAAACAATGTAAATAGTTACAACACATCATCTCAGAAATATAGACTTGAATATAAAGGTGAGGACAGCAGTCCAAACAATGTAAATTAAATAGTTACAATACCTCATCTCAGAAATATGAATATGGCATTAAAGGTGTTTTTTTCCAAACAATGTAAATATTTTTAAATAGTTACAATACCTCATCTCAGAAATATAGACTGTGAATATGGCAATAAAGATGAGGACAACAGTCCAAACAATAAATATATATCATCAGAAATATATATATATATCCAAACAATAAATATAAATAGTTATTCATCTCAGAAATATAGATGAATATGGCAATAAATGAGGACAGCAGTCCAAACAATGTAAATAGTTAAATAGTTCCTCATCTCAGAAATATAGACTGTGAATATGGCAACTGTGAGGACCAGTCCAAACAATGTAAATAGGTAAATAGTTTCATCAAATATAGACTGTGAATAGTAAAGATGAGGACAACAGTCCAAACAATGTAAATGTAAATGAATCTCAGAAATATAGACTGTGAATATGGCAATAAAGAAAAAGTCCAAACAATGTAAATAGTTACAATACATCATCTCAAGAAATATAGACTGTGAATAAATAAAGGTGAGGACGTCCAAACAATGTAAATTTAAATAGTTACAATACCTCATCTCAGAAATATAGACTTGTGAATATTCTAAAGGTTGAGGACAGCAGTCCAAACAATGTAAATAGTGTAAATAGTTACAATACCTCATCTCAGAAATATAGAAAATATGGCAATAAAGATAGTCCAAACAATATACAATACATCATCTCAGAAATATACTGTGAATATATAAAGGTGAGGACAGCAGTCCAAACAATTAAATAGTGTAAATAGTTACAAACCTCATTTAGAAAATAGACTGTGAATATTTTTCTGAGGACAGCAGTTTAAATAGTGTAAATTTTACCTCATTCAGAAATATTGTGAATATTAAAGATGAGGACAACAGTCAAACAATAAATAATGTAAATAGTTACAATATCTCATCTCAGAAATATAGACTGTGAATATGGCAATAAAGATGAGGACAACAGTCCAAACAATGTAAATAGTTACAATACATCATCTCAGAAAAATATAGACTGTGAATAAATAAAGGTGAGGACAGCAGTCCAAACAATGTAAATAGTGTAAATAGTTACAAAATCAGAAATATAGACTGTGAATATGGCAATAAATTAGGACTTCCAAACAATGTAAATAGTGTAAATATATACCTCATCTCAATAATAGATTTGAATTTAAAATAGGACCAGTCCAAACAATTTTTAAATACATCATCTTATAGACTGTGAATATGGCAATAAAGGTGAGGACAGCAGTCCAAACAATGTAAATAGTGTAAATAGTTCAATCCTCATCTCAGAAATATAGACTGTGAATATGGCAATAAAGGTGAGGACAACAGTCCAAACAATGTAAATAGTGTAAATAGTTACAAGACCTCATCTCAGAAATATAGACTGTGAATATGGCAATAAAGATGAGGACAACAGTCCAAACAATGTAAATAGTTACAATATCTCATCTGAAATATAGAAATATGGCAATAAAGATGAGGACAAAGTCCAAACAATGTAAATAGTTACAATACATCATCTCAGAAATATAGACTGTGAATATGGCAATAAAGGTGAGGACAGCAGTCCAAACAATGTAAATAGTGTAAATAGTTACAACCTCATCAGAAATATAGACTGTGAATACAATGTCCAAACAATGTAAATAGTGTAAATAGTTACAATACCTCATCTCAGAAATATAGACTGTGAATATGGCAATAAAGATGAGGACAACAGTCCAAACAATGTAAATAGTTACAATACATCATCTCAGAAATATAGACTGTGAATATGGCAATAAAGGTGAGGACAGCAGTCCAAACAATGTAAATAGTGTAAATAGTTACAATACCTCATCTCAGAAATATAGACTGTGAATATGGCAATAAAGGTGAGGACAGCAGTCCAAACAATGTAAATAGTGTAAATAGTTACAATACCTCATCTCAGAAATATAGACTGTGAATATGGCAATAAAGATGAGGACAACAGTCCAAACAATGTAAATAATGTAAATAGTTACAATATCTCATCTCAGAAATATAGACTGTGAATATGGCAATAAAGATGAGGACAACAGTCCAAACAATGTAAATAGTTACAATACATCACAGAAATGTAGACTGTGAATATGGCAATACGAACAATCTAAATGGGGTAAATTATTACAATATCTCATCTCAGAAATATAGACAGATACAAAATGAAATAGTCTATTATTTATGAATTATTGGCAGGACATAATGTATGTGCTAACAAAGGAACAAGCAAGGTTATAATATGATACAAATAAATAAATAGTTACCAACTGGTGTTTTTTAAAAATATGATTACTTAAAATAAGTTCAGTTTTACAATCAAGTCTCCTGAAGTGAAGATGTAATTCCACAAAATTTGGACCAATCATAATAAATGAATATTTACTTTTTATTTGTGTGTTTAAATCTATTATTATTTTAATCATATACTTTTGTTTTCTTTCTTTTTTCAAGAAATTGTTGTACGTTACCCAAAATTGGATGGACGGGGATACATTGCATTTCCTGTTCTGCGTGATGCGTACAAAGAATTCCACATCTATCTTGAAATCAAAGCATCATCGCCAGATGGTCTTTTGCTGTTTAGCTCTGAAAGGCCCAATGCAAGAGGAGATTTCTTCTCTGTGGCACTTGTCAATGGACAGGTGGAGTTCAGGTAAGTCAACAAAACTATTAGCTGTATAGTTATTTGTTTGTTGTTAGTAGTAAGCATCTGTCTATCTTGCTAGATAAAGGTAGTCATGCTTTGTTGGGTCAAAATTCAATCCTTTGATGCTGAGATTGGAGTGACCTCTCCAGGTTGCAGGCCTGGGCAATGGTATGAGGAGACTGTACACTGCCCAGGTTACATGCCCTATACTGACAAGCTCTAAAGGAATACAGGGCATTTGAGGCCAGCTTGCTTGCAGAAGTTGCTAGAAAGTTGTCAGTCAACCATCTTTGGGGATCCATTCTGTTTTCTGTTCTTCCATGAACTTTTCTATGTTTGAATCTAACCGCAAGGCAGTGGAAGTTTTCCTTCCCCTAGAAATATATACACACCAATACATACATATTATGTATTAGCATGTATATAGATATACATACTAATACATACTATATAGTATGTATATACATATACATACTATTGATAGTATGTATGTATATATATATATATATATATATATATATATATATATATATATATACTAATACATACTATTGATAGTATGTATATATGTGTACACTCTAATACATAAAATATAGTATTTATATATATATATATATATATTACACTGAGAACAACTGAACATGCAGGGTGTGACAGAAGACCTGTAGAAACCACTCCAGTTTCATGTATCGCATGAAAACCCACCAACAACCTGAACAGAGTTTACAAAACAGGCCAAGCTCAGTACAAAACAATTTAATTTTAATTTAATTTACAATAAACAACAAGGATCCAACTTGTTAGTTATAGTCATACTTGTTTAGCATGTTGACAGTCATTATATATATATATATATATATATATATATATATATATATATACCCAAGTATATGATTGGTGTATACAGAATAAATTCCAATATAATTATTTATTTAAAAATTATAACGTAAATATGTTATAAAATCCCTACAAAAATAGCCATTCTGTTTCAACACCTCCAGTGTCTTATCAAGTGATGATGTTGAATGTAACTGGAGTGATTTTATAACATATTTATGTTATAATTTTTAAATAAATAATTATATATACATACATCTAGATACATTTGAACTATAAAAAAATTAAAAAAATTAAGTGTCCATGTATCTTCAAAATTTCTTGATCTAAAATTGCAACTGGCATTTTTATATTTCTTCCCCCATCACTAAACCATTATTAGTCCAAAGTCCTTTTGAGGGACAAAAAATAGCAGATGTTTTTTTTTTGTTATACATTTGCCTACTATTAGTCTTATTGTAGCAAACCTATAGGCAATAATGGGTATGTCCCCATTCACATAAATACTGTATGTTGGTCTGCAGAGAGGGTCCCCAGTCGAGGCTATGTCAAAGGGCAGTGTCTTGTCTCAGGAAACGGCTACCCAACCCCATTTTATACAGGGTCTACGGGGAATTTTTAGACGAACATACAGGCTCAGATACTTCACATTAAATTCGGCCTTGTGCCAAATCTGAACGCATTTATATCATTATTACATGATTTGGACAATTTTGTGTAGAGAGAGAGAGAGATAGACAACAGATTGATCTATATTGACTGGGATAGATAGATAGATAGATAGATATGAAGAAATTAAGATAGATATAAAGAAATTTAGATAGATAGATATGAAGAAACTGAGATAGATATCTTATCTGAAAACCTAGAAAAAAAAAGAAACTCAATTAGTTTAGTATTTTGCAGTTTGAGATTCAGTGTGGAATTCACTTGACTCACTTCTAGAAGTTGGCTACTTTTTCTACACACTGCTGGCAAATCTTATATGTGTTGTTCTTGTCCTAAGTATTATCATTCATTACCAACCTTCATTTGATTATTCTATTCAGTAACCTTCCCTAGGTTACAATACTTATATATATATAGGGTCAGAACAAAATATTTTTTTTATTTTTTAGTGAATATTTAGATATTTGTATGTAGGAGGCATGATATACTAATGGATAGCGCCTTGGATTGAGGAATTGGAAAGCCGAGTTCCAATTCCAGTCAGATCCATTACATGCACTTATGTACTAATACCCTTGGGAAAGGTATGAATCCTCTTCTTCTCCCCCCAGCTATGGGTAAATAGCAGGATAGACTTGGTTCTACAGCTTTGGTTGATGACTAATCTAAAAGAAGAAAAACTCTGAATTCAAACCAGCCTGGAGAGGGTCGGGTTTCATCAGGCAATCTTGCCCAAGACACACCCACTTCTACTGTGGCTGCGGTACATGTGGTGTCCCTACTACTCTAATGAGCTATGGGAATCATGATCATGATATAGATTTAATTGACCACATATGTTCATTATTCTACCCTCCCAAAATTTCTGGGTGATGAAAGTGGTTTTTACAGGCTTCCAGAGAATCAAGCTTCTTCCTATTTAAGAGAATTTTGTAAGGTTCAAAATAAGTGATAATCTGAATGTGCAAGGTCATACGAGTACAGTGGGTGTAGTAGAGTACCCCTGCCAAGTTGTGCCAATTTCTGCCTGGTCTGGCATTGTCCTGATAGAAAATGACACCCTTGGCCAATTCCAGCTGATTTTCATCAATAGCTGCTTTTAATTGCCCCAATAGAAAATGTATATGTGTGCATGTGAACATTTGTATGTATATTTTAAGAAGCATTGTATTTTCATTATAGGTTTTTTCATGCTTATTTATTGTATATAGATCTGCATTGTATTCAGATAAAATTTCTGCAATAATTCCTACATCTGAGACTTCTGGATTCTTCCCTTAGTCATATAGTTCATGGCTGGAAATCATAAAAATATATGAAAAGAATCTGTTCACAATTACTCATTGTAACCAATAGTAAGATCTGCTATCAATAATAGCTAGTCATTCTATTCAGTCAAGCCCAACAAAGGAAGAGGATTGGGAACAGTACTCCTTTTCTGAATGAAATAAAGTCAAAAAGGGAAAGACTAAGGTTCTTTTGTTTGTTTTGTTTCCATCATATCAATTATTTATGAATTAAAACTCCGAGTTGAAGGCTCACATTTCTTTTCATATTAAGCTAAAATATTGACACATAATAGATTCTCCAGTGTAACATCGAATATGTGGAAGCTGGTTTTAATATAACTGGCCAAATGGGTAGAAGAGGACGGGCTTGTAATTTTTCGACTGCATCAAGAGACCAAGCTAGTCTTCATTACCAAGTAAAATTATTTCCGGTAATGATGAACGAGGAAATAATGAAATAAAACATAAAACAACTTGTACTCGAGGTAGTTTTGCCCAACACAGCAAGTTACTAAAATACTAAAACATTAAGCTAAAAATTTTGACCATGTTCTTAAATAGCCTTAAATAGACAGCAAACTTATTAAAATATATTTAAACTCTCAGCTGTATAAAACAGCTTTCTCAGATCAAGGATTAAAAATGGTGAAGAGTAAATGAAGCCTGTACCAGGTGTAACGGTAAAATTGTTCAAATTGTGTAATAGCATGGGATAATTGTCCATTCCACAAAATGTTTAATATCTAAAAAATACTAAACTAATTAAGCTTCTTTTTTCTAGGTTTTCAGATAAGATATCTATCTCAGTTCCTTCATATCTATCTATCTATCTATCTAATTTCTTCATATCTATCTGTCTATCTTTCTTCCTATCTATCTATCTATCTATCTATCTATCTATCTATCTATCCCAGACAATTAATATAGGTCAGTCTGTTGTCTATCTCTCTCTCTCTCTACACAAAATTGTCCAAATCGTGTAATAGCATGGGATATAAATTGTCCACCCCACAAAATGTTTAATATCTAAAAAAACACTAAACTAATTTAGCTTCTTTTTTTAAGGTTTTCAGATAAGATGTTTAGCCATCTTGACACCATTTGTTGTAAGAATCACTGAAAAACCCTTTGACTTATTCAATTAGAAAGAGAACAGGTTAAAATCGTTTTGTATCAGACCCACTATGTTTTCCTAAGTGAGCAACATTGAAAGGATAAAGATCATTCAGCCCTTCAGTAATGGTACCAACATTCATACTCTGGCTTCCATCTTCAAAGTCCTCTCAAGAACCATCATGAGAATGGCAAATTATTTTTAAGATAGAGGGAACAGTAGAGAGAAAAATTGGATCAGGAGATCACAAAAGCAAGACGGATCATCTTTTTAACTTAGTGTTAAATACATTCTTATTGATCAAAGTAGAGTCCATTAGTGTTAAAAAAAACAAAAAAACCCTTGAAGAATTCCAGTAAGATGTCTTTAATCATTTCTAAGTTATAACAATTAAATTTTAATTGGACAATTTTGCTGTTACATGACTTGGACAATTTTGCTGTTACACCCAGTAGGTCTTAGCAAGGACCATCCTCCTTTGAAATTCATGGACGGTTACTACAGAATCACAAACAAAGAACTGTTGCAAATAACAGAAACCACATCACTTGATGACATTCAACAGCAGCAACAACTAAAATGGATAGCACATGTAACTCAAAAAGAAAATAAAGATATAATAAAGATGTTGACATTCCACACTACTTCAAACAAAAGGTTAGGAAGGAACACCCTTCTAACTGAAATTGAACATAGTATAGACTATTGCTACAAAACCAAAACGTTAACTTAAAAACGACATGTTTTTCAATAGCCTCATCAGATCGAGACTTTCCCAAACCTGTTTATAAATATCTAAGCTGTTAGCTGAATACAATTGTTTTCTAAGATCAATGATTAAAAATGGATTCATTTAAATGAAGCCTGTAGGTCTTAGCAAGGACTGTCCTTCAACAATCTTTGTAGACTCATACTACAGAATTACAAGTAAAGAACTGTACCAAATAACAGAAACCACATCACTTGATGACATTCAACAGTGGCAACAACTAAAATGGATAGCACATGTAATTCAAAGAGAAACTAATGGTATAATGTTGACATTCCACACTATTTCAAATGAAAGGCTAAAAAGGAAGTTCCAACCAGTACTGAAAAGAGTGATAACAGTGGACATGAGAAACCTATTTTCCTGAAAAATTGTTTTCAGAAAATGATTTTAAAAATTCCAATTGAAAGTTGTACTAGCTTCTCAGTTACTGAATGCTAAATGTTTCTTTATAAGGAAACAGTTAATATTACAATTACCATTCTCAAAGAGGTTCTTTGCATTGAACATCTATCGGGACTCATGTTCACCCCAGATATCAGGGGCGTTCTGTGTATGACGATAAACTACATCGCGTCCTGGGTAAGACGATAAACTACATCCAACAGGCCTCTGATCAGGAAGTTTTGAGGAGCATGGAACCACCTCTTAATTTCTGGTGTTCCCAGATTCACCCTGACCTGGGGTGGTAGCACCTGTTAGGGTCCCAGCTATGGATAAATAGTTAACCCCAAACTAGGGTTAAAACACTATGAAAGTGTAAAAATGTTTTAATACCAGAAATACTTTGAAAAAAAAATATTACCAGCAATACATTTTTTGAAAAAAAAACAAAATACATGCACACCTTTTTTACCAAACTATCACTATGAATCTATTTCAAAATTTTGTTGGCATTAAATGACCCACTGAGGTTTTGATATGCTATAAAACAAAAGAACCAAAGCAACCAGATATCAAGGGGAACTGATATATATGATCCATTGCTAAAGATGCTGGAAAAATGGTCAGTTCCCTGTACCGCTCCAGGAAGTACTTGACTCCTCCTGCCAATTGGATAGGATGTGCTACATGGTAACCAGATCTACACAGATCAATAATCTAGGTTTGTAGGTGTAGCAATATAGCCATGGACATTCACTTGGTGACATATTGTGGCATCTAAGAAAAGCTGAAATACGTTTATGTATTTACAGTGTTAGATTCATTATCATTTTGAATTTCTAGTATACCTAATGCCTAGAAAGAAATTTCTTCATATGAGTGTGGGAGGAGGTGAAAGGGATGTAACAGGGGAGTGCAAGTGGAACAAAATGGAAAACACTGAAATTTAACAAGGCAGTGTCTGACACTGTCAATGTGTTCCCTTCAATATTGTATATAGCTCACATTATAAGTGAGCAAAGTTGAGATGTAGCATAGGTGAAGGAGGAGGCATGCAATCTAATGGGTGTCTTCCCTGTCTGTTCTCCAAGGCTCGCTTCATCTCTCTCTGTTTCTTCTCAGTTACTGAATGCTAAATGTTTCTTTATAAGGAAACAGTTAATATTACCATTACCATTCTCAAAGAAGCTTTTTGGATTGATGCTGGAAAAATGGCTCCTCCTGTCAATTGGATAGGATGTGCTAGATCTACACAGATCAATAATCTAGGTTTGTAGGTGTAGCAATCTAGCCATGGACATTCACTTGGTGACATCTTGTGGCATCTAAGAAAAACAGAAATACATTTCTGTGTTTACAGTGTTAGATTTGATGTCATTTTGAGGATTTGTAGGAGTAATGTCTTTATAGGAGTGTGGGAGGAAACAATAAGGATGTAGTGGCAGGGGTGGGGTACAACTAGAACAAAATGGCAAACACTGAATTTTAACAAGGTAGTGCCTGACACTGTTAATATGTTTCCTTCAAAGTTGTATATAACTCACCTTATGTTTTGAAATGCATTTACAGTATTTCAAGCAAACCTGTGGATATGTTCACACAAAAATGTAACATGCTTGCATTCAGCCAAAACTATAAAGAAACACAGATCCCAGTAGCTATTTGTCTGCAGCGGTGTGAAAAAGAAATTACTAATATGTATATACAAGGGCTATAAAAGAACTAAAATGCAAATTAAACTGTCATGGCTTCTATTTTTAATATGGAAAGCAGTGACACAGACTAAAAAATGGGTTGAAATGTCTATGTGGATCTTTTGTTGGGACCTTTCAAAGTCTGTATCTACTCACTTTGTTTTCCTACTCAAAAAGTAATTTTCAATCTAAAATTATTTCTTATTATAATAAAGACAATCTGCTTCTTGACAGGAATTGAACATATTTACCATTTTTAATCTAGTTTTTCCAGATTAAAAAGAAATACAGGTTTACTACCTGTCAGCTGGCATATTTTCTTTAATAAAACTTTTGGTTTCTAGGCTGGTAGACATTACATTGTTTTCAAAAACAGTGATATCTAATCAAACACATGTACCTATAATATTTATAGTGATAGAGCTTGATTCTCAGTGGGTGCTCCATACTTGTGGCCCTGGGCTATACTTAATGAAGTACAGGTCATCATCAGCTTAGGACCTATGCAATTTATGACTGTTTGACTTTACATTCATAGATTAGTATTTCCCCTTTCTTTGAAGTGTGAAGTGGAAGATGTCCATTATTTTTTAGACCTAGAATGTTGAGCTAATCATATTGGAAGAAGAAAGAGTGGCAAAAGAAGAAAGGAGAGGTGGGAAGCAGAGAAAGAAGAAGAATAGGAGAAGCAGGAAAAGAGGAGGAGGAGGAGAGAAAGAAGAAGAGGAGGAGAGAAAGAATAGAAGCAGAGAAAGAAGAGGAACTGGAGAACGAGAGATAGAAGATAGGAAGGAGCATAGAAAGAGGAAGAGGAGCAGAGAAAGAGGAAAGAAGAGGGGAGAAGAGAAAGAAGAGGAGGAGGAGGAGGAGCAAAGAAAGAAGAATCGGGGGAGTAGAGAAGATATGGAGGAGAAGCAGAGAAAGGAACAGGAGCAGAGAAAAAGAAGAGGAAAAGCAGAGAAAGAAGGGGAGAAGGGGCAGAGAAAGAAGAGGAGAAGGAGGAGCAAAGAAAGAAGAGGAGAAGGAGGAGCAAAGAAAGAAGAGGAAGAGGAGGAGTAAAGAAAGCAGGAGGAGTAAGAAAAAGAGGATGATCAAAAAAGAGGAGGAGGAGTAGTGAAAGAAGAAGAGGAGGAGGAGCAGAGAAAGGAAATTTACTGCTAAGCTATTATCAGAAGGCTTATCTCTACTGAATTATCTCCTTTCACATTTTGAAAGAATGGACCCAAACATTGAATGATTTGCAAGGATTAAACTGTGTGTTTCATCCATATCTTGAAATTTATGAAGAAGAAAAGAAACAAACAATTCAGACAAAACTCACCATGTTTGTCAAAAAAAAAAAAAAAAAAAAAAAAAAAAAAAAGCAACACCCCTGGCTACCCTGAGCCCTGTCCCAACTGATATCCATGATTCACAAATAAGCACTAGTGACTAATAAGGTGTTTTGTATTTGTATGTATTTTGGTATGTTTTGCAACTAAAATGTTTTCTGTTTTTTTTTAATGTTTAGCAAATATTAAACCAACTGTACATGGTGTTTGACTTAAATCTGACGAACATAAAAAATAAGAAAGAAAACAATGTGTAGAGAGGTTATACAAATGGTATCAAACGTAAAGAATCCATAAAAATTATTAAAAAATATAATGATGCATAAAGAAATTTTTAAAACGTTGCAAAATTAATTACAGGCTGATTTATGATCAGATTGATTTACAACCTATCAGTCCTAACCAATTGTGGTCACAGGTGGATGATGACCTGTATAGCAAATACCTGTTTCTTCTGAGCTGAGAGTAAAATCAAGATTTGAGTTTTGTATCTTTTTGAAATTACACAGAAAACAAATTATACCATCATTAAAACATGTACTCTGCATATATATATATATATATATATATATATATATATATATATATATATATATATTTGTGTATTGAGGCAGCAAATTCTCTTTTAGGTATGCCTGACTGAATAAATTTTTTCACGTTCTAATGAACGCTCAGCACATTGTTAATCATTTGCATTTAAAAGTATAATGTAAAAACTATGGTAATGGATAGCAACGAACAACTTTATATAAATAATTGTACCCCTGAACAACATATTTTGTATTACTTGCTCCCCTGATGATGATCTTGGAAGAAGATCGAAAGTACTTGGGAAATGAAAATAAAAGAAATTTAAACAGCTATAGCACATTTCTCTCATCCTTCACTATCAATACATGAAAGCTTATTCGTGAGTATGAATGGATTTTGTTAAAAATTAGCAGACATAATGTCTGTAATTTATTCAATCAGACAGACATATATATGACGTGATCATATTTAAACGGAACGCTGATCTTATATAAAAATTTCAGTTATCTGTTTGGATTAGTTGTGCTCTTATGTCCATCGTCATTTCATGCTGAATTTTATATGTTCTAATGTTAATTATGTTTAATGAATATGTCCTGATGATGGTCTAAAATAGACCGAAACGTCCGACGTTGACTTTATATTAACATTAATACAGCATAATTGCATATTAAGATTTTTGTTTGTTTTTTCTGTATATTTTTCTTCATATATATATATATCTTGGCCAACTACTCACTTTCAACTGGGCATACAGTCATCCTCAGGCATGGAAATTATTTTGTTTTTAGTAAAACCAGGTAGCATCAGAAAAAAAAATAAAATTAAATGTGAATCGAAATATGTTTTTTTTCAAAATGGATGACTCTATGTACAGTTGAAAGTACTATCAGATTAAAAAAAGACCTTATACAGCTTTTAGTCATTAAAAACAAGGATCATAACATTCATTAAGTGACTCGTAGGTTAATGCAACTTTAAAATTTTGTTTGCGAATAGATTTTGCCATTTTATATCATTAACTTTACTAATCTACTTTTTATATGAATGATTCATTGTAATATAAATTGAACTGCACCACATATTTGATATATATATATATATATATATATATATATATATATATATTGTTATTATTTCAAAAGTTATTGTTTTTTACACTTTTAAATTATTCGGACTATTATCCTCATCTTTGTCACCATATTTATTACGTTTCGGCCGTTGTATGCTCCAGCCTTCTTCAGGTGGTTGGAATGTGAAGCTGAACCCTTTATTTTGCTCACTGGGGTAGACTGTTCTAGTTCCATGTGCCATGTTTCAAAAAGTGTATGTTCCATACCCTGTGAAGGCAGTGGAGAACTTGAAGAGGGGAATTAACAGGAGATAACTGACAACTGGCATCCATTATAACATGGCACATAGAACTAGGACAGTCTACCCCAGTGAGCGAAATAAAAGGTTCAGTTCGACATTCCAACCAACTGAAGAAGGCCAAAGCATACAACGGCCGAAACGTTGTAATAAATTTGGCGACAAAGATGAGGACAATAGTCCGAATAATGTAAATAGTGTACATAATACCTTATCTCAGAAATATAGACAGTTATTGTTTTTGTAGGATACCCGTGTTTGAAAAAGATGCCCCAATTTTTTTTTTTTTTTTTGTGTGTATTATGTCTACAAGCCTGTGCACTCAAGAAAACTCTTGGAGAACACATTTTCTTTAGTACATTTTCTTCAGTGTGCAGGAAAAAGAAAAGCACTTATGGGATTAGTGTAGTGTGTGCCATGTGGCTTGGTGAAATGAATACATATACATACATACATATATACATATATATATATATATATATATATATATATATATATAGCCATGATGACAGTTATCAATAACCGAAAGAGATTATTAAAAGGAAAAGTTCCATAGTCTTTAACAACACATGCCTTAATAATGGCATACTGCCAATATATATATATTTTAAACTTCACACACACACACTCACACATATATATATAGAGAGAGAATACAATAAGAAAAAGATACTATTTAGTCCCGAATGTCTCCGCAATTTTCACTTTATTATTAAACGACTCTAACTGTAGAAGTCATAACATAATTTACCTCCTAGAATGCACACTATGCCAGAAACAATATGTAGGAAAATCTGAATGGCCCTTTCACTACAGAAATAATAATTATTAAGATAAACCTTTTCACTGAAATTAGTTAACTGTATTTTCATTTAAATATTCATTGGTATTAACTAACATTATCTTTCATAGAAATATTTATTCATATGAAAATTAAATTTTACTCCATATATCTTATTAATGTATTTATTCAAGTCCATATATTTTCAAGTATTTAAGTTAATATCTTATTTCATTCAAGTGTTTATTATTGAAAAGCAACCCCACTTTTTTTTTTTTTAATTTAATTGGTGAATATTTTTCTACTTGATTCAAGAGTGCCTCCCAGGCGACTCCATCAGGCACAGATTTCAACCCAATTAATTTAGTTTGACTTTATTCTTCATTTGAAATATTCTGCAAAAAAAATAATACATATAAATAATTACTGAGATTTGACTAATGGTGAATCATAGAAGGGAAATTTTTATTTATTTTTTAATGGTTATTCACATAATTTTCAGACCATTATGAATGGTAATGACTTTGCATGTCATTGTAGATATATATACAATTTTATATATATATAAACTGTAACTAAATTAAACACACGAATTCATTCACTAGCTCAGTCACTAAATCTACTTTCAAAACCTACCATGACTCTAACTGAAGAAGTCATAACATAATTTACCTCCTAGAATGCACACTATGCCAGAAACAATATGTAGGAAAATCTGAATGGCCCTTTCACTACAGAATTAATAATTATCGCAATCGAATTAAGTCGACACCCCATGAAAAATTATTACCTGTAGAACAACATTTCCTCCTAGAAAAACACGATTTCAAAACCCATGCCAAATTCACTATAATTGAGAGAAAAGAAAAGTCCAGAGCAGATAACATTAGAAAGATTTTAGAGTTCCATGAAAATAAGTGGATCCCGCATTTAAAAACGCACTATCCATCCAGGCTTAACTATAGATTTAACAAAATAGATAGTATTAATATATAACCCTACAAATCAAAATCTACCCACATTTCTCACCCATACAAGACAGACATACTTACAGAGGTGTTGAGGCCTCACACTTATACAGACACCCACACAAATATACACACATCATACTTACTCACTCTCTAATGAGCCAAATGATAACACACACCCATAGTAATATACACGCTTACACACATCATACTCACTTACTCCCTAAGAACCAAATAATGCACACACTTAAGAGACACATCCCCTTTCCAGGAACCAATAAAACTGTCAAAATGGCCAAGGGAATTCAGAGCAGCATGAATCCATCTAGCTCTTATCTCAAATAACAACTTAAAAGAGACTGTTTGACCAACACAAAGACTGACCAAAATTCGCGTTAAAAAAATAAAAAAACAAATGAAAACTGCAGACAAAAGTTCATTTTCTCCATCAAGACATTCATTTCTGTAGTTCACTGCTACCAGCAAGCAGAAAATTATTTTTCTCCTGATGATGGCCATGTTGGCCAAAACTAGTTGAGGAATCTAAATGAAATAATAATAAAACGAAAGAATATTAATATACAAACCAGTGTGTCTGAAGATTTTTTAAAAAATTTTTATTGTTCAATATATATATATATATATAGTGATTTTTAACATGTTTTGTTTTAATGTGATAAAATATATGTATATAAAGGCATGTGTTGTTAACGACTATGGAACTTTTCCATTTGATAATCTCTTTTTCTGTTTTATATTGCTTTCTTGCAAGTTTTTTATATTTGGGTCTAAGTTGTTGAAATAAGACCCTCATCCAATGTGTTTTGCCGAGTGCTTTCAGTTATCGTCAACCATCATCATGGCTGTATGTTTTGGTTTGAAATAGGTTGCTTATTATTTTAGTTTTATAGATAATATTTTGGATATTTAGACAATGTGGTTCGATGAGTTCATTATTAACAAGGAGGGTTTTTTTTTTTATTATTTTGAGGATTAGTTATTAAATATGTTTAAGATGTTTCTGCCAGTATTAAATGCTATCTTATATATGTTGGGTTTTTGATTTTTTATTCGGATGACTTCAAGAATTTGTAATCGTTTTTTGCATTTGTTTTTATAGAGCATTTTGGTGATGTTAATTAAGATTTTCTTCTTTCAGATGATTTGAATATGTTACTTGTGGTGCAGTGTGTTGTTACAAGATGATTTTTTTATGGTGCTGGTGTCATTAAGATAGCATGTGAGCCTGTGTGAGAGAGTTATGGTTGTGTGTGTGCCTAATGTGTT